GGCAACGGGCTGGGGCGCAGCCCGGCCCCCGCGCACCCCGGGCTCCGCGGTCTGGAGCGCCCCGGCGCCGCCGAGCACCTGGGCGGCCGGCACCACTGCTACGAGTTCCCCGAGAGCACGGCCGAGAGCAACTTCTGAGCCGCGCGGGGCTGCGCCCTGCTGCCTCCCCCGCCGTGGCCTCCTCCTCCTCCTCCTCTGTCCCCCGCGGGGTGCTGCGAGGACAGGGACGCTGCGTGATGTGGGACGATGGATGTGCACGGGACAACGGGCGTGCACGGGACAATGCACCTGCACGGGCCAACGGGCGTGCACGGGGTGATAGCCGTGCAGGATGCTGGACGTGCAGGGGATGGCGCTCGTGCCCGGGATGACGGCGCTGCAGGATGATGGACATGCACGGGATGAGGACTGTGCGTGAGGCCGTGGCCATGCAGGGGCTGGTGCCCGTGTCTGGGGCGAGGGACACCTGGAGAGGGGCCCGGGCCGGGTGTAATTTATGTCATGTTGTGTAAATAGGTGCGGGCCTGAGCCGGGCTGCAGGGCCGCTCCGTGTGCACCTCTCTGTCGGACACAGGCGGCCTCGGAGGGACCGGGTGGAGGGGCAGCTGGGCTCGTGGGGCTTCCTCATTGGGGACAACCCCACAGCAAACTCTATAGCCCCACAGTGCACCCGGTAGCCCCATGGCGCACGCTATAACGCCATGTACACCCTATAGCCCCACAGTGCACCCTGTAGCCCCACAGCACACCATATGCACGGGGACGTGTCTGTCACCAGCCCTGCTTGGGGAGGGAGGCGGGGAGACACAGCAGCCTCTCTGCTGCCAAGGTTGGGGACACTTTTGAGGGTGGGATGGAGAAAGAGATGGGGACATGGAGGGAGGGACAGGGACATGAGAACAGTGGGGCACAGCTGCCACCATCGCCACCAGGGTTGGGGACACTGTGGGGGGTGGAAGGGGGCACAACTGCTGCCAGTCCCACTAGGGCAGGGGACAGCGCTGGGGGAAACAGTGGCCGCCCTGTGACAGGGCTGAGGACACGGGAGCAGCGCGCGGTGGGGCCCAGCGGTGCCTCTTGCTGCAGCGGCTCCTGTTTACGTGCCCTGGCGCCGGCTGCGCCAGCCGAGGGCCCCGCGGCGCCAGGATCGCGACGGGAACGCGGCAGGACCATGACGGGGACAGCAACGGGGCCACGGTGCCCTTTGGGGATGGGGGCTGGCCCGCATGGCTCCGAGAGACCCTGGTGGGGGATGCAGGGACGGGGGGGGGCAAAGGGATCAGGGTGGGAGGGACCGGAGAGGCCGGGATCGGGACACGGGACATGGACTCGCAAGTCCCGGCAGCCCCGCGCGGGCGGCGGTGCAGGAGGAGCCCAAGCAGAGCCGCCGTGCGCCACCGCACGGCCTGGACACGGCAGCACCGGCACACGCGTGGGCGAGCGCAGGGACACGGGCGTATGTGCACACACACGTGTCGTACACATGGACACACAGGCACACACACGTGTGCGTGTGTACATACACATTTACAGGCATATGCACACACACGCACATGAAGTCGTATGTGTACATACAGGTGGACATGGGGATGGACACATAGGGAAACATGCACACACACACATCCATATGTACATGCACACGTGCATGCACGCACACCTCTATAAAACATGTAATGTGTGTGCATATACACACACATATGTATAAAAAAACATGTGCACACATGGAGGCGGACATCCAGGGAAGCACACACAGATTCAAACACATGCCTTTAGCTATATATATATATATATATATATACACATATATATATATA